ATGGTTTGCCATTTTAGCTGTTACAACAGTGGTTCTCAACCTGTGGGTCGCTGTGTGATTTCTGCTGTGCTAGGTGAGAGTCCTCCTCAGCCCTCTCCTAGCGCAGCAGTGTCAGTTCTCTCGCCACGCCGGATGATGTCGCTGCAGCAGCCGCGTCAACCCTAAATTTTACCGTTGGGGGGTCACCAAAATTTGGCAAAAGGTACCAAGGGGTTCCCGGCCCTAGAAAGGTTGAGAACCACTGCACTAGAGGGAGCTGTTGGGAGACATACTGGTGTCTGAGCTCAATGCACAACCCTCCTTGCTCTCAAGAGCACCCCCTAGTGGCACCCAGTCGAGCTTCCTTATTTGCAGGACAGCAAAGACAGTAGGTTGCAGGCCACGGTCAGAGGAACTCATTGTCTCTCTTTAAATTATGTACGGAATCTAATTTCATTTTTGTTTTTTTGCACAGCCTACAGGGACAGTGGCAGCTAAAAGATCCGCCATGAAAGCACACTTGCCCTTTGGTATAGCTATTACCTCTAAAATATGCTTTAGCAATCCTCATCCAATCAGACTTTCCCCTTTTATCATTAAAGATCCCCATACGCCTTCCTGATTTGAGAGAAGTTTCAGCAATTATACGGCGGGGATGCAATTTTACTTGAAATGCCACAACTGAACATCAATGCTTTCGATTCTTCATCTTCCCTCGCCACAAAAAGATCACGTTTGATGAGGGGAAAAAAAACACCTAATTTTTTTTTTTTAAAGTTAATCTTCGCGCGGTATCATTTTTTTTTTTTTCTTTCTGCTAATCGATTAAATATGAAAAGATGCATCCCTAAGCCCCGAAATAGGCTCTTCTAAAAAGAGCATTTCTAATTATAAGGACGTTTTTTCGCCGTCGGGCGAACTTTTCAGGAACATCAAACACCTGACTGCTGTGGAATGACCAAAATATAAAACTTATCTTTACTCCACAAAGAGCGAAAAGTTTCTAAACGTATTATTTTTTAAAACTGTGCCGCGTATAAACGTCGGACACTTTTCTTACAGCGGACATATCATCAGATATATTTTCCATGCATGTTAAGCCCGTGCATGCTCCAGTAATGTGTCAGTGTAACACTTCCAGGTACCTATTACCTCTCACAGAGATCACATGACTCCCCCTGACAAAGCCTTCATCTGATTTCCTCTCCAGGAGGAAGGACGCCATCTTTGTTCAGGCATCATTCAGGGCTTGTTTACACCGAATGCGGTGTATTCCAGAGCGGTGGCTGCTGACACGCACCGCAATCCCTCACAAAACTTCCCCCTGCGTTCCGTGGTGGGAGGGGGCGAGGCGGTACATCGAATTCAATGGCACTGCTTCCACGCCCCCCCCCGCCGATGATCGGACGCGTGGCAAAACATCGCCTGCGTTCCGTTCCACTGCAAACACACAAAAACTAGGGCAAGTAGCGTTTTTGCGTTTGTCACGTTTTGCCGCACGTCCGATCACACTGCGGGTGGGGGATTCATTGAATTCAATGCACTGCCACGCCGCCTCCCACCCCAGAATGTAAGGGGAGGTTTTGTGAGGGATTGCGGTGCGTTGCAGCAGCTGCTGCTCTTGAATGCACTGCAATCATTGTGAACAAGCCCTTACGGTCAACATCTACTTCCTGGGCTGAGATGCCGGGTCAGAGAGGACACAATCATGCCAATTCTGGTGACTGTGCAGTTCAAATGTTTGACCTCTCATCTTGCAACTTGCTACAAAGCTACAATGTTGCAGTTTGATCACTGGGGGAGGGAAGACTGGGGAAATGCTTCCTCCTGCATGCAGCAAACTGATCACTGGGGGAGGGGAGACTGAGGAAATGCTTCCACCTGCCTGCAGCAGACTGATCACTGGGGGATGTGTTTTTGCAGGTGCACACACATGCGCGGCGCTGCCATCTTTACAGAAGCAAAAGACTCCTTGTATTCTATAAACTATTCTGAAGATACAGGACCCTTATTGAATGGACAAGCGAAGATATACTGGCCCTCTGGGAATGGACAAGGAAAGATACACGGCTCTCTGGGAATGGACAAGGGGAGAGGGGCAGATAAAGGACACTGGTGCTTCCATGTATGACATCTGCAGCTCTTATTGCCACAGCGGGCCAGAAGTACAGCGACAAATGCACTATCCATCATGAATGAAAATATGGATGGATGTGGTTTCAACCTCACTAAAAGGTGATTTTTATACCCACCAGAAATGAAAAAATCTCTCAGGAGTGCATACGCAAAGATAAAAATTACCTCCTCCTAGTAAAAGTCTCCCCCAGTACAGATCTCTCCTTCCTATCCTCCAGTACAAATCCCCCCAATACAGACCTCTCCCCCCCAAATTGCCCCCAATACAGACCTCTCCCCCCCTGAA